AATAGGAGATAAGTGAATAAAATACACATACAAGTGAAAACATCTAAATAGTATCAGGTAATAAGTGATGAAGATTAAACCATAGCAGGATAAATGAGTGACCAAAGTGAGTGTGATATATTTAGACAGGGCAATGAAGGAGATCTCTGTAAGGTGCTATCTGAGCAAAAACCTAAAAAAAAGCCAATAAAGCCACGCAAACATTAGTGGAAGAAAGTTTCACACAATAAGGAGTATAAAGAGCATGAGAGAGCAGAGAGCCTGCTGTGCTTATGGCTGCTACTGGAAGGAAATAGGATATACACAGGATCAAGGCGGGGACCAGATCATAAAGGACCTTATAAACCAAAGACTTTGGATTGCTTTTCCAAATAAAATGGGAAGTCACTGAAAGGTTTTGAACAAAAGCAAGACATCTGATTTACATTTTAAAATCATCACTCGGGGCTACTGTGTGGAGAACAGACTGGGCTAGTGGTTTAAGTTTAAATAAGCAAAATATATGGGCTGCTTTTGCTTTTTTATTGAAAATGTCAGTGAATGTATGCAGTTAATCTTTATAAAAATGTCTTTTAAAATAACAAAAGGTTAACAATCTAGCTCAAGTGCTTCTGTCAATTAGTGAACTCAAGTATATATAAGAGCGAGACAGTTTGAAATCAACTGGTACAATGAGTAAAATTAACCAATATGCAGTAATTACTTTTAATTTCATCACACCATCTGGAAAAAAAAAAAGGCAAAATAGCAAGCATGTCAGCACAATGTCAAAAGGACCTAAATGTACCTGCTCCAAACAACTTAAGAATACTAGTACGTGGCAATGGAATAATTAAAGGAGCCTGAGAGCTAGAATCCCAATTATTCAGAAGCTGAGCACAAACAGCATAACTGACAAATTTCTATCAGATTATGACTGACTTAACCTCCCTACGGGTTAGTAAGTGCTGAGTACTGTAGGGCTATGTAAGAATTTATTACTGAAAAATCTACCATGTTGATCCAGGTCTAATAAGAAAAGTTCATAGTTACTTAAATCAGTCTGATAAATTCAAAGTATTAACAACTCCTATGGTTTTTGCAGGGTTTGCCATAGTTTGTTGTGGGATCCCAATTAAACTCCTAGGAATTAAATAACCAAAGACCTAAAAAAAAAAAGGTATTTCATGTGTTATAAATTTTAACAAATCTAAAATACCTTTATCTACTTTATTACTGACAGATATGACAACAGGCCAAATTACAAACATACTTTCCAACAAGGACTTTTGTTTCAACCAAATGCAACCACCACCAAATCCTTACTGCTTCCTGACTTTGTGTAACTGAGTGCTGAGTATCATGCCAGCAGGCTTTAATAATTAGCAATTAAAAGCAAAATTAACCATAATTTTAATAAGTTTCATTCTATTAAAATCATAATAAAAAGGATACTATGAAAGCTCACCTACCAAAGGAAAATGGGTATAAGACTGCACGTTATTCATTATAGCAAATACATACTCAATTTAACTCGGGATCAAAACTGCAAAACTGGTAATGTCTAATGCTAAAACAAAAATTCCTGGATGCAGCCACTCCAAAGTCTAAACTGTCCTACACTGTCAACAACTGCACTGGAAAGCAAGTAGCCAAGGAAGTGACACTGGGTATCCTACCTGTTTGAAGCTGTTCTTGCTGAAGCTCTGTTTGCTCTACTTGGTGAGGCTGACTGGAAAAGCTCTGGTTATAACTGGCCTGGTACTGATTCTGCTGTTTTAAAGTTTCTGGTTCATTAACAGGAGGAACTGGGGCATTCATATTGAACACCTGTAAGTGAATAAATTATTAGTTCATCCAGTTTGTTAATAATTTCCTCACTTTTAACATGGCAGACTCCAATGCTGGCTTTACCTCAAATGTAAAAAAGTCTCAAACATCACACACACATACACACCCTTCAATTAATGCACTTCAATGTGGGGGAAAAATATATGCCATACAGCACTTAAAGCAGAGCACTATGAGTGTGGGTTTTAAAAATCTAAAGACATATAATCAATAGCCTTGGAAATGCTATTATAAATGACAAATCTGTATAAAAGGCATAAACCCCTGATACAATATCAGTTACACAATTTAATTCTATAAACTTGAAATGAGTTGAATATTTACTTATTTTCTTTTATGATATTTTCAATGACAAGTTAATATTTTAAGTATTTAACACTATGAATTTTCCTATGAGCACTGATTTAACTCTGATTATTTTCCATAAACTGTAATTTAGAGATGTTTACTGAAGAATCAGGGTTAAGTACCGTACTGCCTAAAATTTACTTTGATATACTTCAGTAAACAATTAAGCAAAATGAAACAACTGTTAAATCTAGGTGACAATGTTTATGTATGGCTGTTATTTTGGTCTACTTTTCTGCATGTTTAAAATTTTGTTAATCAAATCAAAAGGGTGCAACTATAAACAAGAATATATGATCACATAACTCCTAAGACTCAAATCTACCCCTGGAAGCAGGAAAATCAGAGTTTAGGTTCAATTAAATATACCCTACAGTTAGGGTAGATGCAGACCCAAGCACAAAGTTAAATGAAGACGTTTTGTTGAAATTCTAACATGGTAATAGTACACACTGGGTACTCAATGTTGGTTGAATTAATTTGCCTACCGTTTGCATGGATTGGAATGGAGCTGCATTTACATTGATTCCACTGCTATGTAAAGGTTTGCTTGTCCCAGCCTGGAACACTTGTGGCTGAGAGGCAGCAGGAAGGGATGAGGATGCTGAAGTCTGGTCTGCATTTAAAGAGATTGTTGCCTAAACACAAAGTGAATAGATGCACTTTAGTGATAAACTACACTTAGCCAAGGCTACTGCCCATATGTGTATTAACAAATTTAACTATTTCATGAAATAAAAATACTGCAGTTACATGCATTAGGTCCAAAATAAAGAGTTATTTTATATTAACAGTAATTTTCCTCAGCCCAATTCATGAATAAGCACCTCATCAAGTTTATATAACAGAACTTGCCTGAATCTGATCAATTGGTTCCTTTTGTGGTCGTTGCTCTGTAGCATGAGAAGGCTGGTACAAGGGCTGAGATGCTGTATACCCTTCACTTGTGGATGAAACCAAAGGAACCTACACGGAAATAAAGTAATCAAAGCTTCTTTGTTATAAGCCAACTCTAATACATGCAAAGCTTAAAAAAATACATGTACCTGTTAAATAGACTATAAAACCTAACAACTATAAAAAATACATATATTATTGAAGCTCAAAGTTAAACACTAGTCCAGTTATAAGGTCCCCACACAAATGCTTCTAAAATGGTAATATCTGCACTGAATTTTAGAATTATGTCTAAAAATTGCTTCTTTCATTATAATAAACTATTATTTAAAAAAAATTAGAAAATAATGTTAAACATCACCAAGAAAAATAAACGTAGACATAGAAATAAAGCTACACATGCCAGATTTGGACACCCATCAAAATCATACCTGACTTTCATAAGCTAACTAAGAAAGTGACTGAAGAACTGGCTAAAAACAAACCTGCAAAAATATTTATTTCACTCTTACCTGGGTAGCTTCTGGTTGTACAGGAACTTGATTTGGTTGAGCAAGTCTAGATTCAGAATGAACTGAAAAATTGACCAAAAAAATATCGTCATACAAAATTAATTTTTTTCAAAGATGTCTAAATACCTTTTATCGATACTTTGTAGCAAAAGGCCAAATTCTAAATAAACTGTTAGCAATCATGAGGATACTTTTAATTTTAGCTTTGAAGTTTGTATTGTGTTTACTGGTAATCATTATTAATCAACTCTCACAATGGCTTTCATTCTGTTTTACAAAGGTAAAGATGTTAGTGATAAAGTATTAATAGAGATGGAGAGCAGCCCTAACTGGTTTGGCTCAGTGGATAGTGTCGGCCTGTGGACTAAAGGAGTTCAATTTCGATCAAGGGCACATTGCCCAGGATGAGGGGTCCATCCTCACTAGGGGGCGTGCAGGAGGCAGCCAATCAGTGATTCTCTCATCACTGATGTTTCTATCTACGTCCCCCTTCCTCCCTGAAATTAATAAAAATATATTTGAAAAAAATAAAGTTAGCAGAACAGGTAAGAATCAGTGCCAGTGTTAGCATGAAAAAGCCTTCTAAAGCAGTAACTATAAAATAGCATTACTCTTAAGACCTTAATATTCAGTATTATTTTAACATTATCAAGTTTCAGTATAATCTCAAATGTTTCCACACAAAAAATAAAAATAAGTATACTTTTAAAATGTCTATATTCAATTCAGTGTACATATTATTGCCAACTTCCACCACCTTTCCATTCCCCTCCTAAACAAGATCAAAAATAAAAAATACAGGACCTTGCCCTGGCTGGTTGGGTGTTATCCAGAGCACTGAGAAGTCACCCAGTTTGTTTACCAATCAGGTCACATGCCTGGGTTTTGGGCTCAATCTCTGGTAGGGGTGTGCAAGAGGCAGCCAATTGATGTTTCTCCCTCCCCCCTTCCTCTCTTAAAAAAAAAAAAAGGAAGCATATTCAAATACATTAATTAAATAAAAAATACAGGATCTTTGGTTAGTCACTTAAAATTGCCTGTTCCCATGGAGAAGATAGGTCCGAATAGTTTGGCGACCGCTGATCTAATGGACTCAGCATTTCCTTACCCGAGTTACATGAATGCTTTAGCACAACTTACCAGCTTAGAAAACTATTTTCTTCCTCCAGTGGAGCTCAGAAAATGAATGCCAATAACTCTGATTCTTTTCTACCAGGCCAGCCGCCTAACCTTGATCTTTTTTCTAACTCTTGGGAGAGGTGTGACCGCAATGAGCTACCTTTGCTTAGGAAAATTCCCAACTACCTTACCAAATTAACTGTCATTAAACATGCTTTTACTCAGCAATGCTTTTTATATAACATTTAAAATTATACATTAAATGTGTTACTTTGGCCGGGACCGGTTTGGCTCAGTGGATAGAGCGTCGGCCTGCGGACTGAAAGGTCCCGAGTTCGATTCCGGTTAAGGGCATGTACCTTGGTTGCGAGCACATCCCCAGTGGGGGATGTGCAAGAGGCAGCTGATCGATGATTCTCTCTCATCGATGTTTCTAACTCTCTATACCTCTCTCTTCCTCTCTGCGAAAAATGAATAAAATATTAAAAAAATTTTAAAAAATGTGTTACTTTGTGTCCTTAATGTTGACATTTTCTGGGAAGAAAAGAAGACTAAAAATCACTAATGATCCACTAAACCCAATGAAGGTACCAACTATACTTGGTGCTGCTATTTCAAATAATGGTGTAAGATTAGTGTGAGTCTCAAATTTCTACTGTCTTTTTATATCTTCACCTTTCCTCTTAAGCATCCTCTTACCCACTTTGACTGTTAAGTCTCATTTTTAGGTTAATAAAATGTTCACAAAGTCTCCAAAAAACTGCAAACATTCTTCAGAAAAAAACAACTCTATTATGTTTTATTTCTAGGTTCATCTTGACATTTAAAAAGCCCAAGCAAAATTTCATTTACATAAATTAAGAGAAACAGGAAAAACTGGTCTATAGTTTATAAGTCAGGAAGTAATTACCATGGGACGGGGGGGGGGGGGGGGGGGGGGGGGGGGGTAGCCAGTGATTGAAAGGTGACAAAAATAGGCTTCTGGGTACTGATAATGTTCCAGTTTTGAGTGCTGGTGTATTCAGTTTATGAAAACACATCAAAATGTACACTTGCACATACATTTCTATTTTTATATACCATCAATAAAAAGTAATAAAAAAAATAAACAGCCCGAGCATCAACCTATGAACTAGGTCACCATTCGATTCTTGGTCAGGGCATGTGCCAGAGTTGTACGCTCGATCCCCATTAGGGGATGTACAGGAGGCAGCTGATCAGTGATTCTCATCAATAATGTTTCTCTCTCCCCCCCCCGCGCACTCCCTACAACTCTGAAATTTTATATATATGTGTGTGTGTGTGTGTGTGTGTGTGTGTGTGTGTGTGTGTATGTATACACACACACACACACATACACACATATGGGGGGTAGGGAGAGAGAGGGGAAGAGATATTTTTAAAATATAAAAGTTGTAGAACTAAAGTTATCGCATTATAGAAAAAAATGTTTATCAAATTAAAAGGTAATTCTAAAAGTTAAGCAAGCATTAAAAGGAAAAAAATAATTTTACAAACTTTACAAAACCTGAAAGCATTGGCCCGATATTTATTTCTCACATAAAAATGTGTCATTACTAACCTGGAGGACAAACCAGCTGGGGCATGTCCATATTTTGTGTTGGATTCATAGGCTGTGCAGATACAATGGCAGGATCAAGTGTCTGGTTTTCAAAATCCAGCATTGAATCCTACAAGGCAGAATACCATGGAAGTAAGTCAAATAGTGTAAGCACTTAAGACATTCTGATAGTGTTTCATTAAATTGCACATACCTGTATGAAATTATAAGGCCCCTGCATTTGTGCCATAAGGTCCTGCACTCGCTGTCTTCTCACAATGGGATCTGGCTGAGCCACGGGTGTCAGAGAGTGGGGCTCTGGTACTGAAGGAGATGCAGCCTGAGGTTGCTGCTGGAGTGAATTTACCACCTAAAGTGGAAGAAGGGGAGAGAAGTGGATTGGTAGAATGAAAGCACTCAATTCATTACCATCATGACAAATCCCCAAACTACATATGCTATCTATACTGTAAACAGAATAGATTTTAATGTAGTTATTCAAACTGATCACAATTTGTCAAATTTAACATTCTGATCAATGTTAGAATTCTAAAGTATTGTCATTCCACAGGGTTACCATGTAGCATTTCACAATTATTTTACAGATGGCTTTCAAAGAAAGACTATGTTATTTACTTCCTATAAGAATGTATTTTGCTTAAACTGCTAAACCTATATTAACTAAATCTATATAGTATATCTATATTAAATACACTAGAGGCCCAATACACAGAATTTGGGAAAGAGGAGGCCTTCCTTCCCCTGGTTGCCAGCACTGGCTTCCCTCTGGCGGCCGGGACCCGGGCTTCTCTCTGGCCCCGGCTTCCTCCGGAATGACGCCCGGTCTAATTAGCATATTACGCTTTCATTATTATAGATATCTATCTCGGTATCCACTGTGTAATCCACACTCAAAAAATGTTAGCTATTACTATCATCAAGCTCTGAGTTCCCACCATTCCATCCTCTCACCAACACTATAGGTCAAGGTCCATCTCTTGATTTAAACTGCTACAACAGCCAAACCTCTCTCTCCCTCTGTGTCCTTTTCCTAGCTCTAATAATTTCTCTTGGTTATCATTTTTAATAATTCCCTGCTCTGCTGGGAGGAAAAAAATCACTAAACTTTATTACATCAAATTTAAATTCTGCCTTGGGCAGGTGGCTTGTGTACCCAAGGGCTGCAGGTTTGATTCCCCGACAGGGAACTTATGAGAAACAACAGATTCACATTTCTCTCTCACATCAATGTTTCTCTATCTTTTTCTTTCTCTCCCTCCCTTAAAAAACAAAACCAATTAACGTATCCTCAGGTGAGGATCACAAATGTTTTTATATTCTTCTGTTTGACTTTTTAAGCCTGGGCAGGTCATAGCTATTAAGCCTGGACAAGTCATAACCTTCCTTTATAATAAGGAATATTGAGATCATAGAGACTGATAACCAAACAGTCCTAAGGTGAAGGAGAGGAGTCTAAGATGACATTCCAATATAGCCCCGGTGAGTAGGATTTTTCTAAAGGTTACCCCTGTGGGAACCCAGGTTTTTATAAAGCAGCCTAATAACAAATCCTATACTTTCATACATTAACCTTAACTTATACATGGTTATAACTTTTGAAACTGGATAGCATCAATGATCCTATTGAACTTCCACAGGCATAAACAAATCACCTGTTAAACTGAACAGTCTTGTATAAAGAGTTTATTACAATAAATGTACTAAGACTAACAATCTTAATTTGCTCTTAGGAGACATAAAAATTACTAATTAGCCAAAGCCGGTTTGGCTCAGTGGTAGAGCGTCGGTCTGCGGACTGAAAGGTCCCAGGTTCGATTCCGGTCAGGGGCATGTACATTGGTTGCAGGCACATCCCCAGTAGGGGGTGTGCAGGAGGCAGCTGGTCGATGTTTCTCTCTCATCAACGTTTCTAACTCTGTCTCTCTCTCTTCCTCTCTGTAAAAAATCAATAAAATGTATTTTTTAAAAAAAAATTACTAATTAAAGACAAAAGAAATCAATCTTGTAACAGAACTCTTACCTCGACTGTTTCAACTGCCCAATCATCTACCTGCTCCTTTTCACCACTGCTGAACTGTGTTTCGGCCATAAATTGTCTATTTACATACTGCAAAGCAAAGTAAATGTTTGAGACCTCTGTTTGAAAGGCAGAAAGGGAAAACCTGCATTAAATAAAAATCCATACCTCTGTGGATTCAACTTCACTTGGTTCAGTGTATTCTTCTGCTGGCTCAGGTTCTAAGAAGATACAAAAGAGTATAAGGAATCTTTAACAGTTTACCATCACATAATCCGAATTTATTTATAAACATAGTTAATAAGTTTCTATACTTTATCATTCTTACAATAATATATTTAGAAAAAAATTTCTTTACTATTTATTCTAGAATAAATTATTTCAGTTTCAATAAATTCACTCTGTTTCGATTCTGGGTCAGATATGCAACTAAAAGATACTATGTTAAAACTTCCCTCTCTTCTTAGAATTCATGTTATAAAGCAGCATACGGATTATGGTGGTGGCAAAAGAAAGTAAAACCAGGACTGTAAGCTAAATCTCATTCCACCTCAGTACTCACCAGCTTCCGCTACCGGGTCTTCAGCAGCGGGTGCCGAGGCTGCCTCTTCCTCCTCACACAGCCCGTTCTGGTGGTTGTGGGTGCTATCAAAGTAGTTCGACTGGAAAACACGCTCGACAATTTCCTTTAGAGCTTTATCTAAAATTAGAATATTATAATGTTAGACTGTCTGAGGTTGCCTGGCTTGAAGATTTAACATCCTACAAAACATTCTAAGAAAGAAAAAAAAAACACCTCATCCTGTTACTAAAACATATAAAAACATTAAATTCCATCAAGAACAGAAATTTATTACAGGACAGGGAACAAAAGCTCCTATTTGTATTAAACTTTGTGGATTTTATGTGTTAGTTTTTTAAAGAGCTGATAATTGTCATTTATTCATTCAATATAGCATCTAATTAATTTTAATCAACATGCTAGGCACTGACTAGGCACTGGGGCCAGAAAAAGATATGTAAAAGATACCATATCTATGCCGAAACCGGTTTGGCTCAGTGGATAGATCGTAGGCCAGCGGACTCAAAGGTCCCGGGTTTGATTCCGGTCAAGGGCATGTTCCTTGGTTGCGGGCACATCCCCAGTAGGGAGTGTGCAAGAGGCAGCTGATCGATGATTCTCTCTCATCGATGTTTCTAACTCTCTATCCCTCTCCCTTCCTCTCTGTGAAATATCAATAAAATATTAAAAAAAAGTCTTCTTTCAAAAAAAAAAAAAAAAACATACCATATCTGTCCTCCCTAATTTTACAGTCCAATAGGGAAGAGTTATCAAATACCCACAAAAACAATCAAATTACATCTGTGAAAAGTACTACACAGAAGTCCAATGGAATGGACCTACTCAGAGAGACCACGAAAGGCTTTGCTGGTATAGATGCTTCAAGAGCTGAGTCTGGAAGATGAGTAGTAGAGAAGTGTTTCAAGGCAGAAGCAACAGCATTTACAAAGCCCTATACAAAGAAGCGTGCCAAATAAAAAATAAAAAAATGCAAGTATGCACTGTGGCTGAAGCACAGGAAGTAAGAAAAAGCATAAGAATATTTGAGTCTGGAGAGACTGGTAAAGGCCCTATAGTGCAAGGTCTTGAAATACTGTGTTTCCCCAAAAATAGGACATCCTCTGAAAATAAGACCTATTTACAGGTTTCCTTCTGAGTGAAATATAAGGCATCCCCCGAAAATAAGGCCACCCCTAGGCTAAACATGAGAGATTTGGTCCACTGATTCTGAAAGAAATGGAGTCACAAAAAATTCACCAGGAAATTCAGGAATTGAGATTGTTATGATAATGTTCCAGAAGATGATGACATGATTGTCATTGAATAAATGAGTAAATTCCTGATACTGTAGGATTCAGTTTGTCTGGTTTGTGTTGACAACTACTGCACTACCGTACCGTATACAGGTAATAAATTTCCTTTATTTTCATTTAACAATAAATATGTACCGTATTCTTCTTCATGGAAAAATAAAACATCCCCTGAAAATAAGACCTAGCGCAACTTTGGGAGCAAAAATTAATATAAGACACTGTCTTATTTTCGGGGAAACAGGGTAGATGTATATAAAATGTGATTAAAATAAAGCCAGTATAAAAGCATTTAATGAGGAACAGGGAGTGGATTCAGTTAGAACACTGAATTAAATAAGAGAAAGGCAGAAAAGTAGAAGAGAAAGAAGACAGATTCAAGATATTTAAAGGCTAAATTGTCAGAATTTGGTACACTAGGATATAAGGACTGGACAGCAGACAAAGATGTGTGTCAAGAATTAAAATCTCAATTTCATGGCCTTATATAGCAAATGTAGAGTAAGGCTACTCCTTCATAGGTCACACTCTACAGAAATAAAGCTTCAGGGACCATATTATCCCAAATTTATAATAAAATTAATCCTATTAATAATAAAATACTTCATGTTTTCCGTTTTCTACATTTCAAAGATTCATTCATGACTCAGAACTATTTATTTTTTTAAAAATGTATAAGAACTAAATGCATATAAAAACAATAATGCCCTGGCTGGGCAGTTCGGTTGGTTGGGAATGTCTTCCTGTAAACCAAAAGATTGTAGGTTCGATTCCTGGTCAGGGCACATATACAGGCTGCAGGTTCAACCCTGGCTCACATTGATTTTTTCCCCCCTCTCCCTTTACTCTCTCTCTCTCTCTAAAAAAATATCAATCAAAAAGCATATCCTCAAAAAAACAGCCCTAGCTGGTTTGGCTCAGTGGATAGAGCATCAACCCACTGACTGAAGGGTCCTGAGTTCAACTGTGTTATAAAAGAAATACAGATAACACAAGTTAACAAACCAAAAGTTTTTTTTCTTACATGAAAAGATAAAAGAATCCTTGATTCCTTCTATGTGATTTTACACATTTTCTATACACATCAAATTGTGTCATACTGTTTTGCCAATTAAAACTTACAATCCAATTTAATTTCTTTTTAATCCAATAGCTAAAAACAAGTTGGATAGTTTTACCTTCATATGTACAAATATCTATTTGGCTAAATCAACTTCATAAACAGTCAACATAAGGAGCTATATCCTGATTTACTAAGTAGTTAAAAACCTAAATTTCTAATAAACTTAGTGAAACTTAAATGTCCTTTAAAAAAAATCATAATTGCATTTTTCAGGTTAAGGAGCTCACATACAGAAAACTAGAATAGATATCAATACCTTTTTTAAAACAAAACAAAAAAATATCCCCAAATTAGCAAAAGTCTAAGAAAAATTACAGACAAAGACAATGACCACAAAATGAAGAAAGTAAACAGTGGATATCCTATATAATAAAAGCCTAATATGCTAAGTGTCTGGTCAGCCATTCAATCAACCAAAGTTTAATATGCAAATAATATGCTAAGGCCACTCAACTGCTCGCTATCACATGCACTGAACACCAGGGGGCAGACAGTTGACCAGTCACTATGGCATGCAGACCACCAGGGGGTAGACATTCCAACAGGTAGGTTAGCTAGCTGCTGGGGTCCAGCCAATTAGGACTGAGCAAGATGGGCCAGACATGCCTGGAGTCCTCCCATTGTCCCTCCCCAGCTGGCCAACCTCCCGCATCCCTCCCCAGCTCTGATGGTGCACCAGCAGGGCCCTTTGGCCTGGCCTGTGCCCTCTTGCAATCCAGGACCTCTCAGGGGATGTCAGAGGGCAGGTTTTGGCCCGATCTTGCAGGCCAGGCCAACAGACCTCACTGGTGCACAAATTCATGCACTGGGCCTCTCTAGTTATTTATATATTTCTAAAATTTCTTCAATTAACACTACTTTTTTTTATATATATATTTTATTGATTTTGTACAGAGAGGAAGGGAGATAGAGAGTTAGAAACATCGATGAGAGAGTCATCGATCAGCTGCCTCTTG